TCCGAAATTGTGGGCTTTCTCTTCTCTCCCCCCCCCGCCCGCCCCCCCCCCCCCGGGCATCCAGGTCACTCAGTAATTAGGTCAGCTTGTTTGGAACAAGTATAAAGGCCTGTTGGTTACATTAGTAAGTGCAGAAGGAGATTGGATTTATGCCCCCACCCTGCACTACCCGAGGGAGTCTCAGAGTGGCTTTTGAGGACTGCTCTTGAGAGAACAGCTCTGAAAGAACCCCAGGTCACCCAGCCAGCTGCATGTGGAGGAGTGGGGGAATCAGACCCTGTTCTTCCAGATTAGAGTCTGCGCTCCTAACCGCTACACCAAACTGGTGCCCAAGATCCTGCCCACAAAACAGAACTGTAGGCTGAAGTACAATTTTATCTTTTTAACATCAAGCCTGAAACACCTGAGCCGGACTGCCAACAGTTGGGAAGCTTTACCTTTGTTTCCCGACCTGTGTGGGTTAGGACTAGAGATGTGAAGGCCCGGGAAAAATTCAGGGGGGAAACCGTTCCCCCGTTTTTTTCCTGAAGATTTTTTGTTTTTTTCCAAAAAATTGGAAACATTGAAAAAAGAAAAGAAAAGAAAAGAAATGATTCTGGAACGTTTTATTTTAACATGATGAATAAAATATTTTAAGACAAGGTGTTCAAATATTTTCCAAATCATTTCTTTTATATCTATATCTATCTATCTCTCTCTCTATATATATATATGTGTGTTGGTGTGTGTGTGCGCGCGCGCACTGAGGACAAGCAAGTCCTAGGTTACAAACTGAACCCTCCAATGCAAGAACAAGATGCATTTCTTCCTTTAGGAGGTGCGATTGTCAGAAGAAAATTAAAAAGTTTCAGTTTTGTTTTTGCATGTGGGTGGGTATTCTGTTTGAAATAATTGTTTGGATACACTATATTTTTAATATGCTGGTTGTGATAATTTCATGCCAAGTAAAAATGTCCATAGTCATATTTTATGTTCCTAAAGTAACAGAATGACTTTCAATCTAGAAAAGACAAAAGAAATGCTAATGTAGCATTTTTTTTCAATTTTTCTGAAAATTTCCATTAAAAAAAAAAAAACCAACCCGGAAAAAAACCTCTGTTATTCTTGTTCTATAAATTTACTTTTTTTGCATGACTTTTTGAGCACTTGTGGCCTGCTTTATTTGTACAGTGCTCGCTTGCTTTCTGTACCTCCATAACTAACATGGGTTTGGTCTCCCCCCTCAGTGCTGACGATGCTCACCAACGAGACCGGCTTCGAAATCAGCTCCGCTGATGCGACGGTGAAGATCCTGATCACAACTGTGCCACCCAACCTCCGCAAGCTGGATCCGGAGCTCCACCGTAAGGAAATGCCGGCACTTGGCTCTTTGGAGAAGAGGGTGGTCGGGGGGGGGGAGCTCACTGCTTTACAGCAGCAGTCACGCTCGGGTAATGGAGGAGAGGAGCCCGGCGGCAGAAGGTTTGCACCATTTGCGGTGCGTCAAGGAGTTTCCCTCCCCAGCATTGTAGTCGGGGTGTCTCCCTTCTGAACTGGCTGTGGCTTGTGCTGAACTTTCTCCTCCCGGTTTTTGTCTCTGTGTCCTCCTCTCTGTCCCCCAAGTGGACATCAAAGTGTTGCAGAGCGCCCTGGCAGCCATCCGGCACGCTCGCTGGTTTGAGGAAAACGCCTCTCAGTCCACGTAAGTCTTGGTGCCCTTTCACGGCTGGGGGAGCCGGCTGACCTTCCGCAGTGGGAGATGGGGGAAAACAGCTTCTGTCCTGCTTCCCAGTCGGCATGGAGTGGGAGTCCCCAACCAGTGTTCCCTCTAAGCTGAGTTAGCGTGAGCCAGCTCATAGTTTTCTAGCCTCCGGCTCATACGTTTTTGTCTTGACTGAGGAAGGACGGCTGCAGAGCAAACTCATTGATGCAGTAGCCAAATTGCCGGCTCACAGCTTTAATGCCAGGAGCTCACAAAGTAGAATTTTTGCTCACAAGACTCCACAGCTCAGAGGGCCTTCAGGCACCTTTGGAATTCCGAGACGGCGTGGTGAACGCAGCCACAAAATGGCTGCCGCAGGAGGCGGGGCCAGCCATAGAATGTCTGGTTATGCTGAACTTGAGCAGTCACGCTTCGACACTGCTGGCAGCATCTCTGCCTGACAGGATGCCTTTTTAAATGAACGTGTCACTTAAACGTATTTTCTTCCATACACACGAAGTATACCTATTGAGCTCGTTAGAACCCCTCATCTGGCAGCATCTGTCCTCGTTTTCCAGTCATCTGGCCCGCTTGTCCTACTCATTGCAGGAGCTGGACGGAAGCCCCACCTGGCCAGTATTCCCTCTAAGCTGCGTTAGTGTGAGCTCACAGATTTTTGTCTTGTGTGAGGCGAAGGCTTAAAAAACCTGAACTAGCCCACATTAACTCAGCTTAGAGGGAATACTGCTCCTGAACGTTTCTAATCTATCTAGTTTGCAGGGGAGCTTTCCTTGACCTCCTCGGGCAGGCCGTCCCAATGGGGGGGGGGGAACATGCTGCAGAGAATACACGTGTGTGGGCAGGGGTAGACCTTTCTGCTCCCCTCCGATCTAAGAGAAGTTCCCCCGCTAAAAGTTCTCTGCCTCCTCCTGTCAGGGTGAAGGTCCTGATCCGTCTGCTGAAGGACCTCAGGATGCGCTTCCCCGGCTTTGAGCCCCTCACGCCCTGGATCCTGGACCTGTTGGTATGTGGAAGGGGCGTGTCATGTGTGTGTGGGGGGTGTCCGTTTCCCCCTCTTTCGTTACCTGTTTCCATGGTACTTCCTTAGCTGGAGCACTTGGCTGGGGACGCTGGGAGGGGTGTGGGCAGAGGCTGAATTTTGCTTCTCACCCTTCTGAAGCATCATGAATGGGGGGGGGAGTGTGCGGGTGTGTTCCCCCGCCCCCCGTTTATATAACTTTTATTGGTGATAAGTAAATACAGCAGTATAATGATTACATGTACAAAAAGCATACAGAAGAGAACCATAAGATATTAATCGTTGCAACAAACATTAGAGACAGAATCTGAGTATACAGCTTATTCTAATGTCATGAAGTCTTACTTCAGGCACAAGAACCTGAAATGAAGTTCTGAAATTGAAGTGACTGTCTAATATGCAATGAAGAATATAGTGAATACGAAGAGGGCAAAGAAGATGGGGAGAGGGGAGAGATGCGGAGACTTGGAAGTGTCAGACTGGGTCACCCATTGAGGTCAGCAGGTGAAGGAACAAAGTGAGAGGGTGCTTGGATCCCCTGTTGCTGAACTCTTTAACGGTATACTTGTTGGCTCTAGGGAAACTACGCTGTGATGAACAACCCAACCCGGCAGCCCTTGTCTCTCAACGTTGCATACAGGTATGGTTTTAATAAATATGCCGTGTCCTGTCTCCCCTTCCCCTTCAGGTCATGATAACTGGAAAGCAGATCTCTCTTGAACTTATATTTATTTATTTATTGGATTTATATCCCGCCCTCCCCGAAGGCTCAGGGCGGCTAACAAAGAGGCACAAGTGCCAAAGTTAAAACCGATAAAAACAGAATAAAACAACACAATACAAAACACTGAAGTGTCGGTGCTCTAGAGGTCACAGAATCAGTAGCTGCAAGATGGGGGTCTGGTAAAAGTTGTTAATCCCAGGCCAACAGCGTACCTCCTAGCAGCACAACCGTCCCATCTTCATTCAGGGACGTCTCACACCCCATTTAATTTCCGCACAATTGGTGGTCGAGGTGCGATAATGGGGGGTAGCGATGATGGAATAGTGGTGGCGGCGGCTCCTACTCAAAAGCCTGGCGGAAGAGCTCCGTCTTGCAGGCCCTGCGGAACTGTGCAAGGTCCCGCAGGGCCCAGATCTCCGGGATCTGATTCCACCAGGTAGGAGCCGCCACCGAAAACGCCCTGGCCCTGGTGACAGCAAATTTTATATTCCTGGGGCCTGGGATTACCAGGAGATTTTGACTCCCCGACCGTAGTGCCCTTGGGGGAACACGCGGGGAAAAGCGGTCCCTCAAAAGGAGCAGTGCCTTGCTGTCTGGTTTGTGCTGGTTTCCAGCAGACATGCTGGCGTTAATTCCCCGGAGGACTCTCAGTCCTCCTCTGGCTACCGCTTGGCTGCTTGCGGTGTGTGTTCTGTTATTTTGAGTCCGTTTTGCTCTACACTACCCACCTCTCGCCCATAATTGTGTGGAAGTCTAGACTTTTGGCTCAGGAACCGACGATATGCCACTGTGTATCCCGTTGCTTGGTATTCCTCTGTTTGTGACCTGTTTCTTAAACACCCCCCCCCCCCCCGATTCCTCCAGTATCTGCTCCTTGTACACCCATGTCTTAGTGTCAGCCCATCTCCAGTCTACTGTCACGGGACCCACCAGATATGGAGGTTGGGTTGGGAGGGCTTGTTCCTCTGTGACCCACACAGAGGGGAACCCCTTGAGCTTCATTCCGCATTACTAATGATGTGGAAGACACTTGGAAGTAGTCAGGTTCAGCACAGTGTTGAGCTTTGTCTTGGTGGGGTTCACACAGCTCCAGTCATTTGAGCAAAAAGAAGAAGAGGAAGAGTTGGTTTCATACCATGCTCTTCACTACCCGAAGGAGTCTCAGAGCAGCTTACAATCTCCTTTCCCTTCTTCTCCCCACAGCAGACACCCTGTGAGGCAGGTGGGGCCGAGAGAGCTCTGAGAGAGCTGTGACTGACCCAAGGTCACCCAGCAGGCTTCATGCGGAGGAGGACTGGGGAATCAAACCTGGTTCTCCAGATGAGAGTCTGCCGCTCTTAACCACGACACCACACTGGCTTGGGGCTCAACCCTCGGTGTTCTCAGGGCTCTCTCCAGACTTGAAGTGTTCACTAGCAAATCCTGGTTTCTTTGTCACTATGCAGGGAAGGGGCTGTTGCTGAGTGTTAGAGCAGAGTAGTAGAGCAGAAGGTCCCAGGTTCAATCCCCGGCACCTCCAATTAAGAAATCCGGCCGTAGGTGAGGGGAAAGGCCTCTGCCTGAAGCCCCGGAGAGCCCCTGCCAGTCGGAGCAGATAGTCCTGACCTTGGCAGACCAACCGTCTCGTTCAGTAGAAGGCAGCTTCATGTGTTTGTGCGGCGTCAGTTGTGTACCAATTATGATACCAATTATGTTGCTTAACCGGCAGGCGTTGCCTTCAGATCCTGGCAGCGGGGCTTTTCCTCCCCGGCTCCGTCGGCATCACGGACCCCTGCGAGAGCGGGAACTTCCGAGTCCACACGGTCATGACCCTGGAGCAGCAGGTAACCCCGATCCCGGGCTGTCCTCGTCACTCGTCGACTGCTGTCCTTGCGGCCTTTGCTCCCCCCCCCCCCCCCTTATCCTCCGCCTCCCAGATCTGCAAGATAGGCTAGAATTCAGGTCTGTGTTACAAGGCTGATGGGGGAAAGGGCTGTCAAATGGTGACACCCCCCCGCCCCCCGGGGCTTCCAAGGCAAGAGGCAGAGATGGTTTGCCTTTGCCCGCCTCCTGGAGACGAAGAAGCCCTGGGAGGAAAGGCCGAGGGACGTGGGAATGTTCAGTCTGGAGAAGAGGAGGTTGAGAAGGGGCATGGTGGCTCTCTTGAAGTCTCTGAAGGGCTGTCGCCTAGAGGACGGCGGGGAGCTGTTCCTGTCGGCAGCAGAGGAGAGGACTGGCAAGAATGGGCTTCAATTAAGGGTGGGAAGCTACCGGCTGGATGTTAGGGACAACTTTTTGACAGAGTTGTGCAAGGGTGGAATGGGCTGCCTCTGGAGGTGGTGGGCTCCCCCTCCCTGGCCGTCTTCAAGCAGCAGCTTGACCAACCCTTGCCAGGGATGCTCTCGGCTGATCCCGCATTGAACAGGGGGGGGGTTGGACTCGATGGCCTGTAGGGCCCCTTCCAGCTCTGGGATTCTGCGATTCTGTGTAGCAGCTCTGGGATTCCTGGGGGGGGGGGTCTGCCACCCGAGGATTAACCAGGGCCCGCCCGCCAAGCAGGGGAGGGGCCATGGCTCTGTGGCAGAGCCTCTGCTTGACACGCAGGAGGTCCCGGGTCCCATCCTTAGCCGCTCCAGTTAAAAAAGACCAGGCAGTAGGCGATGGGAAGAGGCCTCTCCACCTGAGACCCTGGAGAGCTGCTGCCAGTCTGGGGAGACAGTCCTGACTTGGAGGGAACGGTGGCCTGATTCAGTAGAAGGCAGCTTCGTGGCGCGCTCACGTGCTTGGCTTCCGAGAGCGGATCAGGTTGGCTTCGCCTTGCAGAAACTGCTGAGGCAGTGCATTCAAGAAGAAGAGGAAGAGATTGGATTTATACCCCACCCTTCACTAGGGGTGTGCAAAAAAAAAAAAATTCGGTAAAATTCGGATTCGGGTTTATTGAACCCGAATTTTTTCGGGAAACCCGAAAAAAACCGAATTTCTATATCGGTAAACCATAGATATCCGAAAATTTTCGGAAAACTCGAAAAATTCGGGTCCATTATAACCAATGGGGCCATTGAAGTCAATGGCAAAAAACCTCTTGAAACTTTGCGGGGGGCTGGGGGGGAGGGGGTAGAGCCTCCAAATTTGGACCGTGGCTGCTCAAGCCTCTCCCCGAAAGACCCCCAAAGTTTCGAGAAGATTGGTCCAGGGGGTCCGATTCCAGGGGCATCCAAAGAGGGTGCCCCCAGTCCCCCCAGATCAGCTTGCTGTATTCCCGGTTTGCCGCCGAAATTCGGCGGCAATGCATTTCAATGGGATTTTAACCTTCTGCTTTCCTTTTTGCAGACCCCTGGGGGGGGGTTAGAGGGAGAGGCTCCAAACTTGGAGGGTAGTTACTGGAACCTCTCCCCAACATGCCCACCAAATATCAAGAAGATTGGACCAGGGGGTCCAATTCTATGGGCCCCCAAACAGGTTGCCCCCATCCCTCCATTGTTCTCTATGGTGGGAAAAAAAATACTTTTTTTCCCACCATA